TAGTTTTATATTACATCCCTACTGTGTTATTCCTATGTATGTCTACACTATCATGTATGTCTGCACTATGTTTGTACTTTCTTCTACACTGGAAGCTCCTGTCGTCAAGTCAAATTCCTTGTGTGTGTAAACATACTTGGTAATAAAGCTCTTCTTATTCTGATTCTGATAATCATGACATGACACATGTCATGAATATGAAGGAGGTTTTATGCACGTTTATGACAACTGTCATTTAGTGTCATTCGCTCAGTTATGTAATTTTTTATGCAAATATGACATTATTTGACCTAACCCTACCCCTACCCTTATCCCTAACCATAGCCCATAACAAAGACATCTCAAACAATGTCATCTTTGCATTAAAAATTACATAACTGAGCGAATGACACTTAATGACAGTTGTCATAAACATGCATAAAAAAACCTTCATATTCATGACATGTGTCATGTCATGATTATGTAGGTGTCATGTCATGATTATGAAGGTGTCATGCCAGTCTTATGCACACCCCTTCAAGTAAAGTGTAACCCAAAATCTTAATCAATCATAATTCAGTTTACCGGTGAAATTATTTCTCTCTGGTTACATATGTCGGACTTCTCCAATAATTTAATTAGCATAAACCCCACCCCTTTCTTAAAAAGGACTATAAACTTCTATGTAGACCTGTCTCCATCCAATCAACAACTGATGGACTGAACCAAGACCCCATCTTACATTTTTTGGTAACACTATTTTGATAGTCCACTTTAGACATTCTGCTAACTTTAAGTAACTTTGCAAATACATATCAACTACCAGTCATTAGAATATTAATAGACTGTCTGCTTAATATCTGCTAACACTTTATTTTGATGGTTCCACAACAGACATTCTCCTGACTATGAGTATAACTTTGCAAGTATGTCAGCTTATTCTACTAACCATAACCCTAACCTAACAGTCTACTAATACTCTAATGAGAGTTAGTTGACATGTAGTTGCAAAGTTACAAAGTTATAGTTAGTTGAATGTCTAAAGTGGACCATCGAAATAAAGTGTAACCCATTTTTTTCTTTTTCAGTAATCCATTTCACAATATATAAATCTGTTGGTATGTCAGTTTAATTAAAATTTTGATTGTTAAACTAGCAGTCAAGCTACCGTTTTAATATAAGTAGGTAGCTACATTATTACTTTTGCTAATAAAATGTAGCTAAATACATTGACGTTTATGGGGGCAATATATGTTTTTAAATATACTGTATAACTGGTTTTATTATTTTGTATTGTGTAATCAGAGCATGGCACAATAATAATAAGGAAGAAAAATGAACTTGTTATCCCTTTGAATTAAGTAAGCCATTACACTTAGATATGCATCACAATACAGAAAAAAAGATTATCACAATTTCCATTTCATGCCAACCTTAAAGTCACTTTTTAAAATAATGTTTATATATTTATACTGGGAAAACAACACAAATGAAATATGACTCCCATGATAAATCAAAGAAACACTGGATGCTTATGAAAGTTACACATTGCATTTATATTAATTGTTTTTAGAGGGAAAAAAAAGACAGCTGCAAATGAGGTGGAGATTGGATCTTGACGTTGCAGGGTTAGCATGCAGCTCTCTGCTGGGTGTGGATTTATGGGCGAGCAGAGGAGCTCCAGACCTTGATTAAATCCATGACCTTCACCACTCACACAGGCAATCAAGGCGAGGATAAATTCATCATTGCATTGATCCATCAATTGAATTGCGTTTCCGACACTAGCAATGGCTTGACCTCGGCGGCCAGCAGGATTGTCTAATTTGCTCACGGTGCAGATTGCTAACACTCTCGCATTAACTGCGCCGTGAATTTACGTCTCTACCCCTGAGACACGCCATCATGAACCACCTCCCTCCCACCAACATCCCCTCAACGAGTGCCAAGCAGCAAAGCAATCAAATAAATATGCCCTTTCCAATTCATTAACATTCACACGGCCTCCGAATTTACATGCATTAGAATATGCAGAAGCCCTGTGTGGTGTTTTTTATTGGTGCCTTGAGCTAGAGTGATGCTAAAGTCGTACTTGCCATCTTCATCTACTCCTCTATGCACTCCTTCTCTCAGGCCTGTGTTTGTGAAGACACTTTGCATTTGTAAATGGGTAAATGGCTGAATTCCTCCACGTATTTCTCGCGGTTCCTAAGAGGGGCCAAGAAATTGGGTCATCTATTGGGGCTTTGAGGCAAACAAATGAATGTGAGAGGCAGATGCGAAAAAGATGGGAAAGAGAAAGAGAGATAGTTAGAAAAGAGAAAGTGAGATAGCTGTTTTCCCTTTCAGAAATGTCCACATTTGGAGAGGAGAGTCAGGTTGCCGGTGTCTGGTTTGTAAACATATTCGTGGTGTAATCTGAGGCAGGGAAATGTTGGAATTTGAATCCAGGTTTCAAGGATGTGTTTTGGTTTTGCAAAGTCCTTTAGGGACGCTCTGCTACAAGAAACTATTTGTAATTCCGGCACTCGGGCTCGTTTTTCTCCACTGGTTATTTAAGTCCGTGTTGACTGACCCATTTTTACAGAACACGGGATGCTGTAACAACTCTGAAAAGGAAAAAGGAATGTGTATTTACAGCTGAAGCGTGTACTTTCTGAGCCTTTAAAAATAAATAAATAACAAAAATAATGACTGTTTATAAACAGGTTACTCAAATAACTAACAAACAGTTAGTCATGTCCCAAACTCATCCTATTCGCTTCTGATGACAGCTGGTTTTACATGTTTTTCTGTTGGCCAAGCTGTTCATTTATATTCTATATTCTATATTCTACAGATATTCTTTAAAAACTGGTCTACTTTAAGCTGGTATGACTTGTTTTGTTTTGTTTTTGTTGTGGTTTAATTTAGTTTAGTTTTTTTGTTTTTGTTTTTGTTTTGTTTCACTTTGTTTAGTTTCTTTTCATTTAGTTCCATTTACTTTTGTTTTGTTTTTTTCATGAAAAAGTTTTTTTCAGAACTTTTGTTTTGTTTTCTCTTTTCATTGTATGTTTTGTTTTGTTTTCCAGGAGTGCTCTGTGAAGCTTTATGTCTAACATTTCAGTCTTCATGTTTCTGTTTTGCAGCCTGCGGGCCGGGTACCTACAAGGCCTCTTCCATGGACGCCTACTGCACCAAGTGTCCTCCTAACAGTTTCTCCCATCAGGAGAAAGCCTCCGAGTGCTCCTGCGAGAAGGGATTTTACAGAGCTGACATGGACCCGCGGTCAATGGCCTGTACCCGTGAGTGATCCAGCACTACACCAATAAATCAATGTTAGATAGATTATGCATGAATGTTGATGTGCAGAGAGATCAATGGATGGATTAACTGATGGAAAGAGGGATGAATGGATAGGTGGAGGTAATTAGGAATGCATAAATGTACATTATAAGTGTATGGATAAGTAGTGGGTGGCTGGATTGGTGGATGGGTAGATGAATGGATGAACTGATGGAAAGAGGAATAAATAGATGCATAGATGAATAAAATGATGGAAAGTTGGTTAAATGGATAGTTCTAATTATGCATGGATGGACAGATGGATGGACAGACGGCAGATGCATGAAAAAACGGATGGATGGAGGACAGATTGTTAATAAGAGAAAGCTGGAGGCTGTTTTCCTTATTTATTCTTATAGACTGGGCTCAGTACATTTTCACCTCCATCACTGTCTCATCATCATACATCACGTCAGATTGGACGTTTAGCGCTGTGTTTACAAGGCTGGTGAGGTCACCTTATATAGACCAGAATAGTGAGTCATTGCCTATATATATATGTGTATGTGTGTGAGTGAGAGAAGGGTGGAGTAATGAAAGAGAGAAAAGAAAGAAATGAATAAGAAAGAAAGAACCCAATACAACAGATTCTAATTAAAGGACTCATTCATCTGATAAGGCAAATCATGCGTGCAGCTAAACATATGGATGTACTTAATGACCTTCAGTTGTAGTACATCATGCACGCACTTACACACAAACTCACCTACCACCCCAAACACACACACACACACGCACTCTGCTTGCAGTGAAATTAGACCGTTTATACTGTATATGAAAATCATGTGCCGGCAAATAAAAATGATGTGCTAATGTGATTACTTAGAAACCAGCTGTAAATCACACACATGCATGTGTCAACAACATCACATTCAGTTTATGTGCATGTCTTAACTTTTACACCTCAAACGAGACTATGCATTTTTCATGCCAACTTTGGAAATTTAATTCACATCTTAGTGTTTCCATCCAGCATTTTTTTATGCAGTATCCCAAAATGTTTGGAAAATCGGTTTGAAAACAGCCATTATGCTATTATGCTCATCAAGGTTGCATTTATTTGATCAAAAATACAATATAAACGGTAATATTGTTGAATAATATTCAAATTTAAAGTAGCAGTTCTCTATTTTAACATATTTTAAAATGTAATTTATTAACTGAATTTTTAGAAGCCATTACTCCAGTCTTCAGAAATCCTTCTAATATGCTGATTTGGTGCTCAAGACACATTTCTTATCAATGGTTAAAACAGTTGTGCTGTGAATATTTTTGTGCAAACTGGGATATATTGTTTTAGGGTTCTTTGATGAACAGAAATTTCAAAAGAATAGCATGAAATGGAAATAGGTATATTTTAATGCATCCTTGCTAAACAAAATGATTCATTTCTTTGTTTAAAATCATATACTTCACTTTTAAATAACGGAAAATAAATATGTTCTAATCATTGTTCTAAATTTGTTTGTACACAATTTGATCAGACCCTTTTTTGACCCTTAAAAGAACACACTCTCTTTAATCTCAGTGGCTGGAATGATCTTTAGGTTGTGCAACATATAGACTTCTTCATCCACAGGTGACCACAAACACACACTTGTCTGTGTCCCGGAGGAACCTTCCCTTTCCACCAGCAGCTAGTAGCTCTGGTGAAATGTCATCACCACAGACATTTAAACTCCTCCACCCTGATCCCCCGTTTCCTCTGCTTCATTTGCTCTCTCTATCATGAAGCTCTCTCGCAGACTTTTCAAACCCTTTGAGCAGTGAAAGCAACCATCACTCTCTAGGAAAAGAGATGAGTGTGTTTGATTACTTTGGCTTTGCAAAACAATTTGTGTCCATGTGGAATATGTGCATGGGCTGATCTTCCTATCTTATTATCTTTCCTTTGGGCTGTATTTTCCTGTTTTCATCTTGCACACTCATATGGGAACTTATTTCAATGAGCAGACACCCTGCTGAATGGAGTAGTGTTAAAAAACCTTTACTGTAGTTGTGCATAGTTGCAGGTTTTAACAGACTATTAAAGAAAAGTCCCCATGGCAGCACTATCCATCCCACAACCTGTTCAGACCTCTCATTATCATGCCCTCGTTCGAATGAATGTTACCCTTAATGCACTGCATCAAGGCAATATGGGAAGCATTTAGTGTTAAAGTTCCAGCTAAACAGCACAGGAAAACCTCCAGGTTTTATGAGCATTGTTTGCTATATTTTACATTGACATTAAGATATACATTTTACATCACATGGTCACCCAAAAGGAACCCCTTTAAGTATTTATTACTATTAGATAAATATAATTATATTATAATAATTATAATCTTATTTGTGAATGTAGGTTTAAGTTCATGGGGATTTATGTCAATTTCTATGGGGAAATTGAATAATTTTTATATTAATTAAACAATAATAATTGATGTAATTGATTCATTAGAATACATACAACAATATGTAATACATTTAATAAATCATATTTAATATAAATATTAATGCACATGATTGTTTGAGAGTTTAAGGATTTATCTGTCAGTTTTTATTTATTTGAGTGATATTAACTGAATGATACTAATTAATTTTATGTTTTACATTTTTCCTTTTTATTTATTATAATAGCTGTAAAAAATATTTAAATATAAAATATATATGCACAAATAATATGTAAAAAAAATTGTAGAGATTTCTATATTAATTTCTTTGGAAAAATTGAATGGGATTTTTACATCTGGATCTCAGCTGTTGTTCTATATAAGAAAACTGACTTAAAAATTAATAAATGAATCTGTGCATGTATTTGCCAAAGATGTGTGATCAATCAATTTAAGATATGAAACAAACACTGGACTAAATATTGTGATAGTCTGAATCATAATTACCAAGTGAATACACCAAAAAGCTACGAAATGTTTTTTTTCCTCCTTTAAAATGTAATAAACCTATGATTTATTTAAATCTTTATTTAAACATACCTTTTTTGGGTCACAAACCACCAGCCGAAAACTACCGGTACAGATTCATACAGCACAAACACAAACTACATTTACAAACAAACTGAGCAAATTAAAAGCACACTCTTTCTGTATTTTCTCTCTTTTTTTGCTCCCAGAACCTCCATCTGCAGCCGAGAACCCCATCTCCACCCTCAACGACACCTCTGTGACTTTAGAGTGGAGTCCTCCCAGAGACAGCGGCGGCCGAGGGGACGTCACCTACAACGTCCACTGCAGGAAGTGCGCCAATGACGGCAAGACATGCAGCCCCTGCAGCAACAGCGTCCACTTTGTACCTAGACAGTTTGGTCTCTCAATCCCTAAAGTGTTGATCACAGACCTGCTGTCCAACACCAACTACACCTTCAGCATAGAGGCGGTGAACGGAGTGTCCGATCTGAGCCCGACCCCTAAACAACAAGTCACTGTCAACATCACCACCAGTCAGACAGGTACATTGTGTCTTTTCTTCCATGATAATGTTTAAATGTTGCTTGGTATATATTTTTGTTGCATTGTGCCCGCAGTGAAATCTGATGGTTTAAAACCTAACATCATCTGACTGGATCTGACTGAAATTTTGTCACTTCATGCAGCATTTTGCTAGACTGATAAATTATTCAGTGTTCAAATGTTGCATCGTGTTGGACCTGGTTTGGACGCAATGTTACACTTTGAATGCCAAAGCCGGCACAACGCTACCTGTTGATAAACTGGAAACCAGCATGCCTGAGGTAATTGTTTTTCTGTGAAGAGGTCCTCTTTAGATTTCCATAAACATAACACACTCCAAATTATTTTGCAGTCAATGTTGGTGTGTCTCTGTTTCATGAGAGGTAAATAATGTCTATCTTTTCAGTTTTTCTCCCTTTCTTATTCAAAATGTTATACATCCCAAACCTTTACTCTTGACAGTGAAGGTTATCTTTTTTATTCAATGAGATCTCTCAAAAGCCTCCAGTGTTTGACAGCCCTTGAGTTTAGTGTGTGTTTGCGTTTGTGACCTGGTCTTTGTGATGCAGCGTATTGTGAATTTTCCCCAGCGATGTTGCTCAGCTCAAGGTCCCAGCATTCGATATCGGACAAAGTAGAGGCTCGGTACAGCCAGAGGGTTGTTGTTCTACCAGATTGGCATTTGCAGATTCCCATCTCTCTCTCTCTCACACACACAACCTCTGTGGAAGTTCATAAGTTCATAGTAATCCAAATGCTCTAAATAATACATGTCATCGAATATGTTATCTAAAGTCAGGACTCATGTGAAAATGTGCTGAAGGCACAACTGCCCTCACAACTTCCTGTCTCACACCTCTGATGGGCTGACAAGGGTCATCATCAGCGCAGGTGTGTTCTCATTAAATGTGTGTTTGTGAATGTGTACATCGTGGTATTGGGCCTTGTGTAAGGCTCCGTCTGAGGTATTAAATATGTATGAAGGTGTTCGGGCTGTAGAGGGAAGCTCTTGAGCAGAACGGGCACATGCTGAGAGAGAAGCGCTTAATGTCAGAACAGGGTCAAAGATCCCAATGATTTATACATTCAGCCACGTCAAAGCATGAACCAACATGAATCTGAATATTATATAGTTTAGAGCAATTTAGGAATGAATGCTTCTCATAAAATGCACATTTAATGGCACACTCTTCAGAATAAAACTTCCACAAAACGTTTTTTGTTTCAGCCTGATGCAATGGGAGATGCATTTTAATTTATTTAATTTATTTAGTTTATTTATTTCATAATTTGTTACTTTCTAGTTCTTTAGACAGCTAAGTAGTTTATATGTACTAGTGTTTTAAAACACAGCAAGCAAAAGCAAATCAAGAACCAAATTAATAATCAATTTAAGAATCAAAGTAATAATTTTCTTTCTTTCTTTGCATTTATGTTTTTAATGAATGAATGAATGAATTTATTTTTATGAAGATCAATAAAATCATAAATTCTAGGCCATCAGATTTTGCATTATTAATTTTTTATTTAATTATTACATATTTGTTATATATATATGATATATTATATTATATACAACTATATTAAGTAAGATATTTTGGAAATCAAAAGTAGATACAGTATTGTTTAACGTTTTAAGTGGTAGAAAATACAGTAAAACAGTAATATTGTGAAATATTGTTACAGTTTGACAGCTGTTTTCTATTTTAATGTATTATGAAATTTCTTTACTTCAGTCTCACGTTACTACAGCTATCATTCTAATATGCTGATTTAGTGCTTAAGAAACATTTCTCCTCATTATCAATGTAGAAAACAGTTGTGCTGCTTAATATTTTGGTGAGAACTGTGATTCTTTAAATAGAAATATAGTCTTCAAGGAGTTTCCGTATTTGCATGTGTGTGTGTGTGTGTGTGTGTGCATGTCTGGTGTAATTTTGAAGGCTGTTCACAGATCTCAGAGCACAGAAGAGGTGAAGGACACCAGGTGAATTTACCTCCAACCATCTGACCAAATATCAGACCCGCTGTCGCTACTGCCATCTCCCTCCCTCCCCCTTCTCATTCTCTTTCCGTGTCTGTCCTGCTGTAGTGAGAGAGATGAAGGGACAGCCGAGAGAGACAGAGAAGGTGTTAGACTGTGTTTCAGGAGTGCAATTACCTGCTGTTGTGTGGCCCCCCTTTGTCTGTCTTTAGACAAAGGTTTCACTTCTGTGTCTGTGTGTAAAGCACTCTCAAGTCTGTAAGGGATTGTAAGCTGGCTTTATTTTGTATCAATAGAGGTGTAACTGGAATAAAACCATGTGGGTCAAGAAGCTGCGATTGAACTGAGGTGGTCTTGAATACGTATAGATATAATCTTACCATTTTGTATGCAAAAATGAGAATTCTCTCTCATTGTGGCTCTGTCTCACTCTGTTTGCAGTGAATGTGATCCTGAAGGAGAGAAAGAGTAAAGACAGTATCACACTGGCCTGGCAGGGACCCGACAGACCAAACGGAGTCATTGTGGAATATGAAGTCATCTACTATGAGAAGGTACATCTCCTCTCCTCTCTTCTTATTCTCTCCTGTTTTATTTCCATCTGCATTACTCTAACAAGCAGAGTTATCATCCTCGCACACAGATTACAAACATGCTTCTTTGACCTCCATTAAAAGCTGTAACGATTGCAGTTGTCCAGGCAGCCCTGGCATGTGTAATTGAGGGCTGAAGCATCATCATGCCTTTGGGAATGAAAGCAATCAGTAGACACTGTACGCCACAGCTGGCTGCTCTCACATATACGCATAGCTCTTTAATTATAACGGGAGAATGAAACCAGGGTTGACGTCACTGATCAAAGAGAATACCTTCACTGAAACACAAGTGTATACACAGACTCTCAAACACATCCAGACTAAAGGAGAACGTGCAAACACACAGTTGTTAATAAGTAATGAAATCAAGTCTGTGTGGCTTAAAGATATAGTCCATACAGAAATTAATGTCCAGTATTTTTGTTTAGTTTTGTTTAGAACCTGTTGTACACATTGAACAGGCTGAATAATATCCAACATTTAAAAGTTTTATTTTATTTTATTGAACATGTTGTACACATTGAATGGGCTGAACTCTTTGTATTTACTCTATTCTGAACTCTATTTGTTTATTTATTTTTTATTGACATCTCAGATCAGAAAAAAATTTGTTTGTTTTACTGAACCCGTACACATTGAACAAGCTGCACCTCATTATATCCAATATTTTATCTTAGTTTATTTTATGTTTTATATATTGACATCTCTGGTCAGAGAGAATGCCTTCACTGTAACAGACCTGTACACACACACACACACACACACACACACACACACATCCAGACTAAAGGGGAACATGCTGACACACAGTTGTTTATAAGTAATGCAACCAAAGCTATGAGGCATAGAAATATACAGTACATCCAATAATTCCTATTATATTTTATTCAATACATAATAATAATACATTTAAATAAAAAATAAATTTCAGTTTTCATTCCCATCAATTTAAATATGGCATCTCCTCTAAGATTTATTCTTAAGCTTTCAAAGCATACTGTCTGGTCACAGGCAAAAGTTTGGTTTTTTTACATCAATCCTGCACAGATGCAGTCGCACTGACCCAGTCTAGTCTGGCACACATACTGGTTGCTGTGCGATTATGGGATGTCAGCTCAGACTGACTGCCCAGATGGGTGTCTGGCATTGGAGATCATGTGGTTCATGCTGTGTTTGTTGGAACTGGAACGATCCCACGCCCTCAGAAACAAACCTGCTCTGCCCTCCTACATTCTGGGTGTGGTGGACATAGACCAAGTCTTTCCCAGAACCCATTTGGTTATGAGATGCTCTTTAATATTTGGAAGAGATTTATTTATTTTGAAAGGGGTTTTGGCTCCATCGCTGGACTGATTCAGTGACTGGTAGCTAGTGGCTGATTCCTTTTGTCCATTCTAGGTTTATATAATCAGTTTATAATATCATATTGCAAGATTTTGTTAGACTTTTTTAGACTGTGTACCTTGAATGCAAGTCACATTGGATAAAAGCGTCAGCCAAATGTGTGAATGTAAGTGTAATGCATAGCCAGACTGTTGACTATAAGTCAGTATCAGTCAGCCATATCCAAACTAGCGCTTTCAGCCAGCTCTTGCCATTTTTGTGTACAATATGCATCAGAGAAGATGTGAATCTGCCATGTTAAGTGTTAGCTGGCAGTCTTGGTAATTACTACAAAATTAATCAACACACAATATTCATAGACTCACATTCACACACCACTGCAGATGTCTGACTCATGTAAATATAATCACACCAATAATCATGTCAAACAATGTAAATTAAAGCCTTTGCCTGGTCTGTTAGCACCCCAGCATCTGCCTCTATGAAGTGTACTCGCTACAGTGTTAACGTGCTGGTGAAATAATATCCTTCATTAATCCTCTTATGTCATATTCTACTGCACAGCCTCGAAATTCTGCTGCTCTACATGCTGCACATCAATGCTGCCACCCTGCCATTTACCTGAAGCAGCTTTAACAAGATTGAATGCTTAACATTGTTAGCATAGCATTGCAGCAAGACTTAACAGAAGGCTTGTTAACTTTGATAATTTCATACAGAAATGTCTGCTGAAAGAATTTGCAGAGAAAGTGTGATTTTAAACTGTCAGTATTACACTGCCGTTCAAAAAGTATTTTATTCTGCAAGGATGCATTAAATTGACATTGTTTAAAAATATCTATTTCAAATAAAACCTCTTTTATGTAATTTATATTCATCAAAGAATGAATAGAATTAATCAAATGAATAAAAAATGCATCATGGTGTTCACAAAAATATTACTTGGAACTGTTTTCAACATTGATTGTAATAAGAAATGTTTCTTAAACACCAAATCAGCATATTAAAATGATTTCGGAAGGATCATGTGACACTTGAGGCTGGAGTAATGACTGCTGAGAATTTAGCTTTGTTTCAAAGGGATAAATTATATTTTAAAATATATTAAAATATAAATCAGTTATTTATCGTAATACTAGTTGAGAATATTACTGTTTTTTAACAGTATGTTTTTTTTTTTTTTTTTAAATCCAGTTTTGGTAAGCATAAGAACATTTTCCTTCAGAAACATTTATACCAACTCCAAACTTTTGAACGGTAGTATAAGTGTTAGTAAAACATTTTCAAATCCGCAATAACATCTGACAGGAATGCTATTCAAGTCAAAATTTTCCATCATTGTCTGTCCTCAATCTCTAAATCCTACTAAACAAATCAATCTCACTGTGAGTGAAAGTGAATGTTGCTTTGTTTTTCCATTCCAGAACCAAAGAGACCAGAACTACACGGTTCTGAAGACCAAAGCCCACACAATGACAGTGGAAGGACTGAAGCCAGGCACCACCTATGTGTTCAGAGTGAGGGCGCGCACTGATGGAGGCTACGGCAACTACGGTGGGGAGATAGAGCTGGAGACCAGTCATGAGGGTAATGATTTTATACTTTTTTCAGCAGTTTTCTTTTTTGGGCATTTTAAAGGGATAGTTCACCCAAAAATGAAAATTCTGTCATCATTTACTCACCCTCATGTCGTTCCAAACTTGTATGAGTTGCTTTCTTATGTCGAACATAAAAGAAGATATTTTGAAGATTGCTGGTAATCAAACAGTTGGTGGTTGCCATTGACTTCCATAGTAGGAAAAAAAAATACTACGGAAGTCAATGGTAACCACCAACTGTTTGATTACCAGCAATCTTCAAAATATCTTCTTTTATGTTCGACATAAGAAAGCAACTCATACAAGTTTGGAACGACATGAGGGTGAGTAAATGATGACAGAATTTTCATTTTTGGGTGAACTATCCCATTAACCTCCGTTTTTGTATGAATTCTTTATTATGCCTTTTCTGTGTTTCCATGCAGTAGTTTCAGTTATTTCTAGATTTTTAGACACAAACATTGACAGCATTAAAAAGTTTGTGTACAAATTCTGTTCTACGCTACCATTCCAAGGTTTGGGGTCGGTAAGATTTTTAAAAAATGTTTTTGAACATTGAAAAAGGCATTTATTTAATTCAATAAATGTATTGATTTGATCAGAAATACAGTAAAACAGTAATTTTGTGAAATTTTATTATCATTTAAAACTTTAACTGTAATATATTTTAAAATTTAATTTATTCTGGTGATGGCAAAGCTGAATTTTCAGCAGCTATTACTCCAGTCTTCAGTGTCACATGATCTTTCAGAAATCATTCTAATATGCTGATTTGGAAACATTTTTATCAATGTTGAAAACAGTTGTGCTGCTTAATATTTTGTGGATTATTTGATTAATAGAAAACTTAAAGTGTGTGACTTATTTACCAAACCTCCTGCTTATGCTCGTTGGGAGGTGAGCACTGTGTCGCCATGTCTTGTGAGGACAAACAAGGCTATGTTGAGTCTATGTTTCTTTATGTGGATCAAAGAATGGAGGCACATTTTAAAAGGCTTTGGGGCATATGGTAAACACAGAGACCTTGTGGTATATGCACCTAATTTAAAGTACGTTACGGCCCAGCGAGCATCTCTGGAAGCATATCACAGAGCTCAGCGGACCTGATCTGCCAAGCTGAAAGTTGACGGAGTCCAGTATAGTAATTGCTCTTTTAATTATATGAGATATGCTTAAGCCTTTGGCTCACGGTGACATTCATAAACGGCTTACACCGCGTGCATTTGTTCATACAAACATCAGAGCAGAATGGGCAGTACTGTAAATTGCATGCGTTTAGTCTGATAATGTAGAAAAATCCCTTTATGGAACCATTGGCTAGAAGTTAGGTTATTATCATTTGGAATTTAATTTTAATTAAATTTTTTTATTTCTTTTATTTTAAACTTATCTTTGTAACGTTCACTTATTGTTAGTTTTAGTTTGCTTTTAATTTTTACAGAGTACTATAGTTGTAATTAATTTATTTTGTTAGGGCTGCTAAAGTTAATCTGCATTAATAGTATCTAATGGCATTTTCATGTTTAATGCAAGTTGGTTGTAAAGGTTTCCAGTTTTTTATATACCATGAATCTTGCTGGCCTTATTTCCCCAGTCCTGTTCTTTCTGTTCTCAATGTCTTTTCCGATCATATCTCTCATTGTCCTGTCAAAATAAGTGTCAAAAAAGGGCAAAACAAGTCTTGGTATGATCATATAGCTGCTATTCCTATTTAGCAAACTTCATGCGTCTGGTCCTGACTCAGAAAGTTGCAATCTCTTTCTGCATGTGGTGCATACCTGAGATTTTAAATGGAGTCGAATGGAATTCTAAACCAATTCCTGTTGCTGGAGATATCCATTTCCCTGAAAGAGGTGGTTACTCATGCATTGCCAGGCTTGATAAATGTTGTATTTGTTTTGAGTAATGAGTTGATTGCGGCAGCATAAAATCTATATTCTCGCCGTGAAACTTTCAAACCGAGCCTGTTATTCCCTCTGTTAACATACCTATTTGGATGGCATGTGTAAATTAGAAAATTGACTCCTGCCTTCGTCTACATATTTAGTGGCCGAATGCAGCTGGTTCTGGTTTTTCAGAGCGAACCAAAGCAAAGTTTGACATTGAAGCTAAATATTTAACCCTCTTTGGGGTCTAAGATACCACATACTTTAAAAAAACATACTTTGTTGATAACATGTTCAAAGGTTTTCCATGAAAGATGTAACATTACTTGTTTGGTATAAAACATGAATAGGCTAAATACAATACATTTTTCACAACCAATGTCACTATACTGCATAAAAATCAATATTTTGAAAAATGCAAGTCTACTTAAAACAGAAATAAACAAGCCTGTTTTAAAACAGAAGGTTAAAGTTTCAGTATTGTTTATTTTAGTTTTGTTGTTGTTCTTTTTATTATTAAATACGTATTTTTATTTTACATAACAATAGTATTATTACAATAGTAATGTATTTCTTTATTGATTTGTTTAATATTTATCATTTAAATAATAAAATAATGTATATAAATAATAATAATATTGATAGTATTATTATTATTATTATTATAGATGGGTGGGATGAATGTCTGAATATCTTTCTTGTGGGTTTTGATTAAGTCAGAGGAACTCATTGGGGACTTTGAGGCCAAACAGAAAAAGAGTCAATCTCAAAAACAGAACATGAGGGTTAACATTGATGCAAATGTGTCTCTTTTTCTCTTCCTCCCTCTTTAGATATGCTGGCCATTGGGGACCCTAACCAGTCCACAATCCTTGCGGTGTCTGTAGCCGGTGGCATTGTGCTCCTTATCTTCCTGGTGGCGTGTTTTGTAGTGAGCGGACGGTAAGAATAGTCTTCCTTTTAAGACCATCTGACCTTTGCTTCAGTTGCTCTGTCCTTCTGAACCATCTTGGAGGAAGGTGTACTGGTTCTGAGGGCTGATATTGGAGAGCAAAATAAAACGCTTCTGTTCGTTAGGTCTGAGAGCTGCTGTCAAATGGCGATTTTACAAGAAATGAAACCTTGAAGTGTGGATTCTTCCATGCCGAAGCATTTAAAAGAACTTGAACAGCCCATACAGGCACTCGGTGAGGTGTGTCTTATAGGCTCCTAAAATCCAAGAAGAAAGCATTTGAAATTGAAGTCTGAGGAGACATTTTGCACAGCATCTTTGCTATTCAAACAATAGCTGAAGCAGAAAATACGGTGCAGTCAGCTGGGTGAGACGTACTGAGTCTATAAATTAATGCTGATAATAAATATACTCTGACTGAATTAAATAGCGGTTTCTTTCTCGAACAAAGCTCGCCCGAAGTCTCTAAAAACATTAGTATAGATCTGAGTTGATTGCCTATCATGCTGAGTGCCCTATTGAGTATTGACTAGAAAAGACCCATGTTTGCCTGCTGAGAGCATGTAGAAATGCACGTAATGGTTTCATGTGCAACAAATAATTAATCTCAAACCGCTCAACTATAAACCAAAACAATAAATATGTAAGACTGGAATATGCAAGACCAGAAAAAGTGGCGTACTAGAGCGATTCTCGACAGGTTTTACTCACAAGCCAGTGCAGCTTCATGCATTTCCAGTGAGAGCTCTCTGTCCGGAGTGAAAGCTGGACAAACAGAATGTGTTGATTGGTGCTCCTCAGATAACTGTAAAAGAGGAAGACAAAAGTGGTGAAGAAAAGAAAAAGAGAAGGATGAACGATTTGTGAAAATGGCTAGTAGTCTCATGTTTTTAGCTCTAATATTTTTAGGGCCGGTGTTCGAATTTTTTTAAATGGAGGATTTTGGAGAGGATTTGGACTGTGTGTTGTCTTTACTGTGCTGTTGGACTGTCAGCACATCAGACTCTTTCAGAGGTGTTGCATCTCTAAATTCCTCTCCTTTTGAGGTGTCGTAAGAAATTCAGTGCCTTTAACAATACATTTCAACACAATTACTGTCAGATTTCAAATCGCCTGCTTTGAGCAATTTTCCTGGCAATGCTCATCCGTATGGCTGACGTTGTTTGTGCAGACTATGATTTGTTTTGTTATTTAGTGCATTTGCTAAATATTTGTCTTCTTGCATTCAGTCTGTGCTATTTTTGTAAATATTGGTCTACGAATATTAACGTTCAAAAGTTTGGGGTTGGTGTTATTTTTTAAATTGATCAAAACTGACAGTAAAGATTTACAAAATAATCTCTTTCAAATAAATGCTGTTTTTTTAACTTTCTATTCATCAATGAATTTGTTTCCACAAAAATATTAAGCACCACAACTATTTTATACATTAATAATAGTATGAAAGGGTTCTTGAGCACCAAATCAGCAACATTAGAATAATTTTTCAAGAATCAGCAGCAATCACTGTTGAATTAAAAAAATAAATAATAATAAACTATTAAAATAGAAAGCAGTTTATTATTATTAATTTGTAATAATAATTCTCAATATTTTTACTGTACTTGGTGAGCATAAGAAACTTCTTTCAGAAACATAAAAAAAATTACCGACTTATGAACGCTGTTTTGTTGCATCTTGTGCTGTTTTTAATAATCTTGTTCATTTATTACATTTAAATAGTCATGTCATGCTAAAATAGCTCAGCTTAAATGGTAGACATGACCATAATATGACCATAATATTAGGCCTAATTAAATAGGGCTTACATAAGTCATTCAGACGTACTGTTGCAATGTGTTAGAAAAACTATACTGTAGACTCTCTAACATATTGCACATATACAGTCTTTCCCACAAATTTGAGACCCCCAAATGTATTTGTATTATTCCACCATGTGCAGGTTTGCTAGAAGATTATTCCTTTGGCTACGGGCCTCAGGCATAAGTCTCCACTGTAACACAGCTGTCTGACATACTATAGAAATATTATGCAAACTGTATCGTTCTTCAGAGAGAAGTCAGACTTCAATAACCCCTGCCAGCCAGCTATATGTCCTCAAGCTGAACCGTTGGCTTACTTTCAAACATTGAGAATAGTTTCATTTCATGCAGCTCAGGATTTCAGGGCGAGAGATCAAACAACATAATCACCTCACTGCTCCTCATGTCTTGGTCTGCTAAAATCCCACTTGACCCGTTCAGTCCATTTTGTTTCCTCTTGCCATTAGGTCTTTATAGCTGCCAAGTATATCCATCTTTTTTATAAGAATCACACCAGGGAGAAAGAAAGAATGAGGGAACAAATGACGAGTGAACGAATGAGTGAACGAACAAATGCATAAACAAGCGAACAATTGAATGAAAGAATGAGCGAAATAATAAACAAACATTAAAAAACAAACAAGCGAACAAACAGTAGTAGAGTGGCTGGTTAGACTTGCAGTATTCAGCTTGTTTTACTTCATTATTTTCTGACTCTATTCCCCATACTCCTCTTCTCTCTCTCTGTTTCTTTCTCCCTCCCTCCTTCTCCCTTTTCTGTCTGTAAGAACATGAGCAATATTTTGCTAAGGCTACGGCACCGTTAGCATATTTTTGTACTTCACCTCGCTCACAGAGATTTATTTAGTGATTTTAACATCAGCATTGCCTGTTCCACCATTATAATTCATGAAGCCTACAAGACTGAAGCTGGTATCTATGCTTTAATATAATCGTTTGAAATACAGCTAATTAAGGTCACCCCCCTTGTTGAATGAAAATAGGCAAGCATGATTAGCATACCATAAAAATGCATTTTTGTAAACAGTCATATAATCAAATTCTCAATAATAAAACTATAAGAGCACTGGTTAATAGAAATAAAGTTTTAGTTGGAGCCATTAGCTACAAGCGCACAAGCTATTCCTTTCTCTTCTTTCCATTCGCTGTGATCTCTTTACTTTTTGTGTGAATAAAATAGCAGCTGAGATCAAAATAAGTAAATAAATAAATAATGCTATTTTAATTTGCTTGTTCAGTGCACCAGGGACTTGCATTGGCTGACAGAATACAGAATATTTGTGGTCTTGTATATGGACAACAGGAGAAACTGGCATGTGTTACAGCAGGCAGATGGTGTTCAGTCATCAAATTCGGACAACTTAATTTTTTTTTTAAGTCTGTTTTCCTAAAAAGCAATTAAAGCATGGCAGGTGGGTGCTAACGGCTGGGAAACTCCAGCAAGTTTAGCTCTTCAACTTATCAAACATCACAGCTGCTCTCATCATTGCCAGACAATTATTTTTGTTTTCAACTTATGAGAAAGTTGGAAAATCTATTTTACTCCCATGCATGTCTAACTCTCTCTATACTTTAGGATAATCTATTTTAAGCCGTATCCTACACCGTATGCTACACATGCCACAATTTGTCTTTTAATTAAATTTTTTATATTTTCTGCTGCATGCAAATCAAGCAAGCGCATTATTTTTTAAATAATTATCAGTAGTACTGTATTTTTTTTAAATATTCAATAAATTAGTCATATGAATTGCACTATTATGTATCTCAAAGGTGGACTCGTTGATTTTCCGTCATTTAAATAGTTGAGGAATAGTTCAGGCAATAATGAAAAAATCAGGCCATCCAAGATGTAGATGAGTTTGTTTCTTCATTGGAACAGATTTTGGAGAAATTTAGCATTACATCACTTGCTCACCAGTGGACCATCTGCAGTGAATGGGTGCTGTCAAAATGAGAGCTCAAACAGCTAATACAAGCATCACAATAATCCACAAGGAATTCACAAATTTTCATTTCCTTTAAGGTGTTTTAACTTTAAATCATCTAAGTTAATTGCACTTTTAACAAATGTTTAAAATTGTATAGTGAATTGTTAGTGGGCTACATATTTACTATATGGGGTAGGTCTCATGTGAGTACTATTGTTGGACACTTTTGGAATAAATGAATTGAGGAAAATAAAGCATTCCTACAATGGCATAAGTAACTGTAACCATTGAAAAGTATTTACATGATGATGATTTCCCAGGCATGTCTAGTTAAAAGGGCATGCTTGTTCTAAAGAAAACAAATTGGGATTTTAATTCCTATAGCGCTGCCATATTGTGCATCATGATTTTTCCCATTCGTTTTTTTCCCTCCTTATAATGTCTCTGGTCCACCTTTAAGTGTATACTGTGTGTTTAAACCACTCTACCTCCTTTTTCAGATATAGTTTGTCATGACAGTGGAAATATTTTGGGGTTCTAGAAGAGATCATTCACTTATCTCCTTGATGATGCTAGTATGGCACAGATGGATTTGTCTCTGTAATAAAAGATGAAGTGCACAGGAAGATTTTCAAGTCGATCTAATCAGAGAGAGGCAGCAGCTCTTTGTCAATGAGATGTTATCTTCTAAGCATCTGCTACAGGCCTTGGGTTATTCTTAAAACTTAATGATGACAGAAAAGTGTGCTTCATACACTTACTCACTCTCATCATGCAAATAGAACGTTTCTCCCAAGAACCTAAAGCTGAGAGCACTTCATGCTCTCAAACTTGTTTTCGATAATTTTCATCTTCCTATTATCTGTCAAACAGGTTGTAGCGCTGCCATGTTCATAATGGATTTCTGCATGAAATGTTCCATTTTAGCTCAAGTGTGCTTGCGTATGGTAACATCGAATGACATCTTTGATTGGCCAAATGGCACCAATTTAACAATTTGGCTCTTTGTTTTTCTGCCCTGGTACAAATGCATCTGTGCTGCTAGTAGACTCACCAAAGCACCTCTCCGTGCCTGAAATTGTAGCACAACAGACATAATGACGTTTTAGAGCCAAAACTGCTTGGAAGAGCTGCCCCATTTTAAAAGCTGGAATGGTGAACATAGAGCTTCATAGGAGCTTGGTTTCCAAGTCTACAGCCAGCGGGCCCTTCTCAGTGCATTCTCATTTACACACA